TTTCCACCACAGGTTTTCAATTGGGTTGAGATCTGGACTATTTGCAGGCCATGACATCGACTGAATGTGTCTTTCTCCAAGGAATGTCTTCACTGTTTTTGCTCTGTGGCACGATGCATTGTCATCTTGGAAAATTATTTCATCACCTCCAAACATCTGTTCAATTGAAGGGATGAGAAAACTGTCCAAAATGTCAATGTAAACTTGTGCATTGATAGAAGAATGAACCACAGTCATCTCCCCAGTGCCTTTGTCTGACATACAGCCCCATATCATCAAGGACTGTGGAAATTTGGTTGTTTTCTTCAGGCAGTCCTCTTCATGGAACGGCACCAAACAAAAGTTCCAGCATCATCACCTTGTCCAATGCAGATTCTTGACTCATCACTGAAGATAACTTTCATCCAGTCATCCACAGTCCATGGTTGCCTCTCCTTAGCCTTTAAGACCTCATTCACTTACTTCAGAATTTATCAGTGCAAATTGTGTTTGTTGTTGTAGAGGTGAAAGATTATTCTCCTTATTTCAACCTGTTCCTGGGAAACGTTCTCAGAAGATCAGCTGCTCCTCTAAACCAGGGTCATGGACTGAGCTGTTCCCCCATGTGATCTTTATGTCATTTAAGTTCAAATGTTTAAAAAGTGTTAAAACAGACTCCATGTAGAGAAGCTGCTTGTTTTGGGGCTGGTGGAGCAAACATAAAAAAATAAACTAATAAAAATAAAAAAAATATATAATGTGATCTGAATATAAAACTATGTAAATAACACTTAACATTATTTCGCTAGATTTTATAGAAGCTGCAATAGAAACCAACGAGGCTAAAGAACCAAAAAAGCTGCGCATAAATGTGTTTAAATGTCCAAAATCTCCAAAAGTTCGATCAAACTGTGAAGAAACTTTGTGTTAATGCTGACATTAATAGAAATGTGAGTAACTCACTATGAAGCTGTGTTTTTCAGTGTTAACTCTTTATAAATATMGTCTCTTAACCTACTTGAGTCATAAACTTTAAATCAAAAGAAAAATCTTTCAGCTTTGTTCATTAATAAAAAACAGAGACAAAAAGGTACAGAGACTGATAAAACCTAAAAAGCGTACTTGAGAGAAATGATGAAGAGTGGCTTTAAAGAGCACATGCACTTGTAGTAAGATAAATGAGTGCAAAAAGTTATTTAAAGCCAACTTTAGCATGAAAAATATACCCTATTTGTAAATTTTGTGAAATAAACACAGTCAGACGCAAACTTTGTTGACATAAAACCTTTGATCGACTCTTTTATTTGAACATTTAAATCTTCCTTTTAAAAAKATCCTTAACCTTGAGTACTGTATCCAGTGCAGAACCACTCTGTACTAACACAGACAGGACTGTTAAAGCACTGAAGTGACTCATCATGAGTTACAGTAAGTCAGACTTCACCTCCCCATTGTTTTCTCTTTTCACACACGAACCTCCATTCTCACCAGGCGTGACCTCTTGAAGGCAGAGAATAAAGACAGTCTGTCAAAAGTGGACAAATCACTCACTATCTGCTCCGTCTGTTTCACTTTCTCTTTTTCATTTCAGATTATTCCTGACTAGAAAGTATCGTCTAACAAACATCGACACAATCATTCGAGTAATTCTGAAAAATAAGCAAAGTACAGAACAACACAACAACCACACAAACAACTCCGGTAAGTTGTGTGAAGACACATGTTTACAGTTTTGTTACAGAGTTGGCGTTTCGATTGTGATTTAAAAGTCGTGGCCTACACCAGCCATGAAAACCAGCATGAGTGTCCGTTGCAAGACGAGCAGGTTTATTTTAATTAACTTAGACTGACTGTTGTGTTTATGACTGGTGCCACCGAGTGTCCGCAGAATAAACAGCTCGCTCACAGATAATGTTTTTTTCTACAGCTCTATGCCATAATAAATTCACATTAAGGCTGTAGCGGAGTATGGATATATGATTTAGGTATGAATAACACATTAATAAAACCACAGAGAAAAGTTAACTGACTTTTATGGTCCCGAATATCTGATCAGCACTTGTCATACGAGCAAAAACGAAAAAAAAAAAAAACCCAGATCTTCCAGGCCTTTTCACGATTGGTTTGCTTCTTATTTCGTCACGGACAACAAATCAACAAACAAAGCTCAAACACAAATTATATTAACATATATTGTATGTAAAACGAATAGCTTTATTGTGTCCTGTGACTCAATCTTTTAAGTAAATTTGTATTTAATGACACAAACATGAGTCATCAATGGGGCATTATTTTGTTTTATTGTATTATTTTATGATTCCATGAATAAGAATTCATAAAATTGCTTTAAAAAGAAACACTTGCTTTGGTTTTAGGTTTAATTACACCTCTTCGTTGATAATTATAGGGAAACAAAACGTCAATGCCTTATATGGATTCTTAATAGTTTGTGTTGCATTGATGGTACCAGCATTGTGTTTTAGGTTTGTGGCTGGGAATCAGGAATTTATTTAAAGAAAAGTGCTTTTTATGACTTTACATAAATGGTAAAATGCAGATGAACTGTTTTGGCTGCATAATTAAAATGAAAAGAAGAGTGAAACAACAAATATTCAGGAAATTGTGGGACAAGTTAGGGTGCCATGAAGTCAATGTATAAATGAGGTGCTTTTTACCTCCTCCAAGGGAGAGATAATGTTTTCGGTCGCGCATGTCTGTCTGTCTGTGGACAACATTACTCA